AAAACAGAAGTTCTATTATGTAATCTGAATGGGAGCCAAAAGTAAAACACATTTTTATCAAATGATGCTACACCTTCCCACCTACACCTAAAAACACAAATGCATCACTTGTTTCTGCAAAAGAGGTTTCTAATTTAATGTCCTGCTAAAGTCTGCAGCTTTCAATACAGCCAGACTCATCAATGGAAGGAAACAATCGTGAAATTCTGGAGCTACTTGTCGCTTCATGGCTTCAAGTCTTTTTTGAGCCCACCGGACCTCATGGACATGCTCCATAAAAGCAAAGGAAATGGAAAACGACTCCCAGGGGATCATGCCAGGCTCCTTTCCAGCCTCTCTGGTTGTTTTTGTTTTTCAAACCACTGCTGTTAAATTGAAACTTGTGACGGTGCGGTGTTTGAAGGAAGAGCAGGCGATTAAAAATGAACTGCAGTGGATATTTTTGCAGCTGCTTAGAAGGACAGTTGAACATGTTGCAGGTCTGGCAGGAACCCAGAGAATGAGAGGTTCTGGTTTTTTCATTAGTGTCCTCTAGTTCGGAGCAAAGGTTATAAACAAATTTCCTTTTCAGCCGCACAAGTTGGAATAACACACAGCTGTGGTTATTAGGGGGACATTTTTCACCATCATTCATTTTAATCAATGCAATAATCCTACTTGCTAAAGATCCTAATGCAACATTGAACTAAGCCAAATTATTAAATGCAGACAGGAAAAAAAAATAATCCAGCACCTAACAATTCACCATATTAAACTAATTATTGGATAATCACTGAATATATTTGATAAATGTGATAATTTAGGATTCACAAGTGCAGATTTCGGTCAGTTTCTACATTCCTTCTTTGTCTGAGACTAAATGTAATCAAATTTAAAATCCAAATTTAGAAACAAGGGTTTTAATTTAAGTCAGAGGTTCAGTAACATATTAGTGTCATAAATCTCAATAATAACCTGCTTTTATGAAACATTTATCCTCGACATTCTGATTGGGAGTTGTTAAAGGGGGTGATTGTCTCCTGTAATACCTGAAACCTGTCCAACTGACCATCAGAACCATAGACAGGTTTCAGGTATTACAGGAGACAATCACCTAACCTGACTCCAAAAACTTCCGTAGAAATAATTTTGGGAAGGGGCGAAAATACTGGTTAGCTGATTGGCCTATGTTGGTGATAGACGAGCCAAATAAACCAATCAGATCAACGAAGCATATGACGTAACAGAGCGAAGACGAAGAGGAGCCAATTGATAGATCAAACTCTTGCCGAAACCAGTCGGGAGAAGAGCAAAAACATCTTTTCCTCTGAGAAAAGCCTCCAGAGCAGTGTTTTGCTCTTCTTTCAGTGAAGAAATACTCTGTAATTCCGATAAAACTTGCTCGATAGCCACGCTAACGCTAGTTTCATCTGCTGAAGCCGCCATGTTCTTTAGACTGAACTGTCGCGCTTCTCGTTGCGTCACACCTTAACCCGCCTCAAAGCCAACGCTGATTGGACGTTCGTTTGGTGAACGGCTCCAAATTTTCTTCAACGGAGAGTCTCCAGACTGATCTGCAAGTGAAACCTTGAAAGCTCGCGAGATCAGGATGGTCTCACTAGGCTAACAATCACCTCCTTTAATGACAATCCCCCAATTTAACGAACGACCATCAGAACCATAGACAGGTTTCAGATATTACAGGCTAACAATGGAACCAAACGACCTGCTGGTCGATTTCAATTTGCATGTTTTTAAGCAATACAAGGCCTTGCTATATAAAGGCTCAAACTAACTTCAGATCCAGACATTTGAATTGAGAAAGCTTCCTGGAGGGGAAGCGAAACGTCTCCAAACCTTGGAAACCAAGTCCAGTGGATTTGTTTTTAAACTTTTACGGAATGTCTTAAATATGCCTACAAACGTTTTAGTCTGCAGGTACCTGCATTGACTTGCCTTAAGGATTGATACAGTATAACCCAAGTGAATTGTAAACTAGAGTACAGACCAAAGGTTTGGACACACCTTCTTGACCTCTTGAAGCTCATCAAGAGAATGCCAAGAGTGTGAAAAGCAGTAATCGCAGCAAAAGGTTGCTACCTTGAAGAACCTAAAATATAAGACACATTTTCAGTTGTTTCACACTTTTTTGTTAAGTATATAATTCCACATGTGTTAATTCATAGTTTTGATGCCTTCACTGTGAACCTACAATTTTCATAGTCATGAAAATAAAGAAAACTCTCTAAATGGAGGCCAAACTTTTGTTCTGTACTGTAAGTTAAGGAATTTTTATTTTATAGCCACCAGTTTGACTGTTGACATCTTTATATTACTGGATTTTATGTGTTTAGATAATATGTCTAGAAAGTTGAATAAAACACTGTATAAATCTTCCGCCATTAGTAAATATGAAACGTTCTGTATCACAATCAGCCAATAACTCTTTATATTATCTCTGACCCTATTAGCTTAGATCTGAGTCATAATCTTGTGACAGTCACAATGTGGCAGAAGCAGCCATAGTAGCCCACAGTTTAATAATAAACTACTGTGACAGTTTGAAAGCCACCTCATGCTTAATATGGGACATTTAATAGGCGTCTCATAACCAATATGCTCAGAGATTCCTTTCCACACAGCTACGATTCAAACTGACCCCGATAGAAATGTGAAGCTGTTTGTCTAACAGCTAATTACAGCTGGCCTGACATCTGATCTGAGAACTGTTGGTGAGGGAGAAAAATAACATTTCCCCTTCAATCTTCTTCCACAGACATGTTTATACTTTGATCGAATCTCCCTGCTAATATCAGTTCACGCTGCCATTTAAATCCCAAAACAAACAAACGTTTTTCTGAGACGCCCTGGTCGACTCTGCTTACCACAGCAGGGGTCTAATGCATTTCCTGCGCTGTAGAGGGGCAGACAAGAAACAGGAAACAGGCTTCTGTATATTTACACAAAATATATTTGTCTTAAGCTTTAGTGCAATCTGAGAACGGAGTGAAAAATGTTTAAGGAGTTTCAATCTGTGGCACCTATACTGTATCCTCCAGCTAAAGGCCAGGGTTTCAGCATTGAAGAAAACACACTGAATACTGTGTCTAGAGTCACATGAAGGCTTATGGACAAATGAATTATTCAAGCTGGAAAGATGTGAACATGCTTTACACTCTAAAAAGACCACCAGAGGCTAACTAAAGCAAGACTCTTGTCTAAACTCAACAGAAAAGAGGCATACTATCTTTCATCCAATTTCTGCCTGCTGTAACCACATCATATAAAAAAGTCATGTCTCTCTGGGGTTTTTGAGGTGAACGGAGGGACGGAAAACCTGAAGGGCAACACTTCCAATCTAATTGGCAAAGAAATTTACCCAAAGTCATGTCTGAACTTTACTCTGAGGCTTTACTATGAGGTTAAAATCACACAATGTTTTAATCCAAATACAGTCCACTTCATCAAACATTATATTTCAATTTCAGCCGATTAAGTTAAATGTTTTACACTGGAAAAACGATCTAGCAATAAGTAAAACTTTCTTAAATTAAGTGTATTTACCCTTGATTTGAGTAGGTAAAGGAGATAGTTTGGAATCAGGATTTTTACTCTTAAAATAAGATAATTAGATAATATTCACTTGAAATAAGACAATGCAATTGTGTTTTCTTATTTTAAATCTAAATGGTCTTGTTCCATTGGCAAGATGTCTCTTATCTCCTCAATTCAAGAACAAATGCACTTATTTTAAGAAAAAATGACTTATCAAGATTTTGATTTTTTTGCATTGTAGAGAGAAAAATGGATTCAAAATTTTGCGCAATCAGTTATTTAATGAATTTTTCAGCCGACTCCTTATTGATTTAGAAATTAAGAAACGTTACGTTTAAGACTAAAGATGACGAAGCTAGAAAATATTCTAAAGCTAGTAAAGGAAAAAGGTTTTGGTTATGAATGCAAAAATAAATAAATAGAGGTCATTACAATATTCTAACAAACAAATACTCCCAACTACTTTAATGGTAATTTATCTGCTATGTATAGATGTTATCTTCTGTTTGACATTTGCTTGCTCGTACTGAAAAATCTGCAGAAGACTGAAAACTTACAACAGCAGCACAATGAATTATGAATCAATACGGGCTCCCGCTCTCTTTAACTCTACGCAGGCTGCCTGGGGCCATTTGGGGATACGTAGAAAGCACTGTTAAGTCAAACCCATTCATTCAGCGGCGCATGTACTCTGCTGCACCCATTCCCGCCGCCCTGCAGGCTCTCCACGATTGCTTCCAAGTCCACAAAATCTATCTTTAGGGCCGTGCAGCACTCGCTCCATTGATTGGAGGCGGTCCAGGACAGGCCTGCAGTGCACAGAACTGCTGCAGCAGCACAGATGCAAAAGATGCAAAAGATGGGTTTTCTGAAATAAATGACAGCTGTCAATCAAACTGTCAAAGGCTCAGGTCACATTTTTACTACAAAGATTTGAAAATGCTGCCAAGTGAAAAGGTCACATTAAGGTGAAATCAACACGGGAACAGATGACGGAAAGAAAGAGGTAGAAAGGTCAAGGGAGACAGAAAGAGAGACGAATATTCAAAGGTCTCCATTCAGCCGCCGCTTCCCACAGAGTAATTCCACATTCCCCAAAGAGCGGAGAGCCACGTCTCTCAGCTGACATTTACCGCCTGCCTTCTGTTGCTGTGATTATTTTCTTCTCCAGGTGTGAGAGCCAACCTGCACTTTCTGTGCAATAATGCTGTTCCGGGATGAACGGGACACAAACCAAGGCCAAAAGAAACCCTTTATACTTCCACTGATACCATGACCATGATGAAAATAAGCTGGGATACAACGGATGAGAAAATCTGACTGTCATTGGAGGCAGAATTTAACTCATTTAGAATCAACACAAATAAAGATTTTTTTAGAATGTCATGAAGCCTCAGTAATGAAAGCAGTAAAAAATAAGAAAGCATCAGTTCCTTAGGACGGTCACAAAGCTGTGAGAAGCCTACCTGTCTGTGGATGGAGGCCGCTCGTTTCGGGCCCTGCTGCCTGGTGAGTAGAGGGAGTCAGAGAGCTGGTGCTGGTGATGAACGTGGGGGTAATCGTCTCGGGGGCTGTGGGCCCGGCTATGGCTGCTGTCCACGGAGAAGTTCAGAGGGTTGACGCCGGAGTACGTATGATCCTCCTCAGAGGATCTGTCTAATGTGCGGCCGACGTCCAAGATCTCTGCGTAGTCCCGTTCCCGAGCCTGGCGTTCCCTCAGCTCCCTCGTCTTGGCTTGAATCCTGACGGCAAAAATCTAAGTTAAAGACACTAATTGATATAGTATAAGAAGATAATATGAACTTAGTTATTATATAGGTACTTGTATGTCATTTAAGGAAGTTATCAATTATTCCTACTGCCAGAGACTGAATAATTACTCCCCTGTGGTGGATATTTGGTAGCTAACTAATGCTACCAAGGATATAGTGAAGCTATAGTAGGACAGTAACAGGAAGCAGTGACACTCGGCTCAAATTCTGCTGTGATGAACCACAGTTTGTGACAAGACTTGAAGAGTTATTAAATAAGTCACCAAGCTGTCTGCTGCAATACAAGCCAGCAGGAAGGATCTGCATCATCTCTAATCTGTGAATTAAAGTGAAGCTCCAACATCATTATGAATACATTTGTTTCTCGTCTGTTAGAAGGCAAATAATAAGTTCTTATGTAGACCTCTATAAAAGAATTAGAAATGCTAGGGAAGTTGGTCTGTATCAAAATAACAGAATATACAAATACACATTTAGTAGAAAGCGCTTTTTGACTGATCAGAAAAGCAGCATAAAATGGAGATGGTTTAGTCCTGGTTTAAAGGAAAACTAGTTTCTAAATCGTCTACAGAGCATTGAAGCTAAATGATGCATGCTACTAAACTCTGCATTGGTGATTACGGACAAGCACTCTTTATTTTTTGACACCTGGTTGACTAGTATCAACATTTTATGGACCAGAAGAAAGTAATCTGCTTTACCTGGTTTTGATAAGGACTCCAGCTACAGCTCTTTACAAAAAAAATAGCAGCACTGACAGGGGCTTGCAGTTTCTTATTTGAGGCATCGAAATTATGCTTAGAAAGATAAAATAAAATCAGGAAATAATTCTTTGCTATATTGGATCCAAACACTTAAGTCAAAAACAAGCAAATGGTCTATGGTGTGAAATTGGTGATTCAGAAATTTTACATTTTTGACACAACTCCTACTATGAAACATAGTTCGTGGGAAAAAAAAGATAAAAAAAAAAAAGGGTTTTGTTAATCAGAGGCTTTTATTCTCTTCAAACTGCATTTAGAAGGCTTAAAGGTATTTGCAAAGATTTAAAATAAGAACACATGAATAATTAAAACCGTTTAATAAAAGTGTTATTTAAAAAAAATTAAAAGAAGCATTCATTGAATTTGAAGCAGAATCTTATAAAAAAAAAAAAAAGACAAAAAACAGAACCAACAGGCAGATGGTTATTTTTTTTTAACTTTTCATAACAGCAGAGAGAAGATGTGGAGTTTATCGTTTGAAGTGCCCCTCTGTGAATAATAAACTAAAGGTTAGAGTCTCCTGAACAGTCCATGGATTAAAGTACTGCCAACATGCCTCTTTCCTTCCAAACAAAGCACACCACCCCTGGCATCTTACTGTGTCGCTAAAATCACCATTTCCTTTACAGACATTATCTTTGTGAATGATTTGCAACACCATTTTCTGTTGGCAGTGGGGGACTAACTATCGTAGAGCCCTGTAATTAGAGCCTTGACAATTATCAGGGCTTTACAACTAGCAATTATCAAACTGCTCTCTTCTCTTTATAGGTCGCTTTTTAACGACAGCGGGAAAGTGAATGGGACATCAGCCACATGGAAAACCCAGCAGGATAAGAAGGAAAATGACTCCCAGAAGAAAAGAAATTGGAAAAAAATAAAAAGAAAATACTTTTAAACTAAAAAACAAGGCAGTTACTGAAGTTTCAGAGTAGCTACGCATCAGCAAGATCTGCTCCAACTCCTGCGACGTAGGCTAAACCAAACGTACACGTTGTCCTCGCTATGCGTTGACTCAGCGACTAATATCTCAGAGGGACACTGGGCTCTCGAGGGAGCTATCTTTAAACCCAAAGGGAAAGCTGTGTTTTCTTTCAGGGAGAGCAGGACTTCTAGTAGCAGTGCCTGATTGCATACACAACAACAAGGACTGATAAGATAAGGCCAGACACAGCAATCCACTTCCCAGCCTTACCGGTGTGGGGCTTTCTTCGTACTTAAGGCCAGGATCTGTCAACAGGACCAGTTTCTCATCAAGGAACCAGAGTGAAAGAACTTGTCAAAAGGCTCTTCTCATAGAGGCAAACTCAACTCAGTTTGATCAGTTAAGATCAGGCAGGAAAGGCTAAAATTAGCTAGAAATATTTTAGATTGCCTCCCGAATGTGGGCAGAATTCGCTCAGAGGTTTGCTTTTAAAAGTTAAACTGGCTGAAAGGAAACAAAAATGTGTCAAACACTGATGTTTAGACGGTAAGCAGAAGATGTTTGAACAGATCTTAAATAATAGATGGAAACAGAAGTCTGAGCTTACAGGTCAAAGCCTTTAAATTAAGGTTTCATTCCAGGAAACACCAAAAAAACAACCTATATTCTAGTTTTCAAGATCATTCTTTAGTAAAAGTCTTTCAAATGTCAGCCTTATCAAAGGAATATTTGCAATCGTAAAAATACAAAAGAGTAAGTTTAATTTGTAAAATGCAATTTTCTATTAATAGTAATTCCCTTATATTTAAGAATGTTTAAAGGTTTTGTTGGTTAAAGTTTTTGTTGATTCTAGGTAAAAGAATTAGGATAAATCTAGTGGATTTTATTTGGCACAGGTTGGGACTTCAGGGAAAAGTGATTAAATTTGTGATTAAGTTTGTTTATTTGATTCAGTTTAACTGAGTTGAACAGTAGGCCAGGCTATAAATACACCAAAACCTTCTTGGATTTTATATTTTACATATTAAGTCTGAAACATTGTTAGGATTAAATATCTGGTAGTTGTTTGCAATGAAACATCTACATAACCCATTATCCAATCCAAAGGTCTGGATAAGCTGAATTTAGAAGCGATAGTTACGCTATTAGCATTAACCATCCATCCACATTGTATGTTTAAATTAGCCTGATAAACCAGACTAAACGTGAGATTAAATGTGTAATTTAGTCTGGCCCCGATTAATGAGAATTTGGAAGATTGTTGATGAGAACAACACCTTGTTTTTCAAACCATGTCTGTGCCTATTGGCCAACGCTCTGACCAATGAGCGCAACTGACTGTGACGTAAGTAAGCGTGACAGAAAGCTGGTGGGGGAGTGTAAACAGACAGCCTGTCAGTAAAATGGCGAATATGTCCTTCTTAAAACTGAATGAGCGTAGAGCCTCTTTCTTCTCAAGTTTCAACGAAAAACCCAACTCTAATCCTTCCAAAACTGATACCAAAGCTGAGTCAAACAAGAACTGTTCAATAGTTGTTGCCATCTTCCTTGTTGTACTTTATCCAGCGTCGCGCAACTTTTTCGACACACCCTCAAAACCCCGCCCGCTTTGCAACCAGAAATTCAAAACACATCTCTGCGTTGTGATTGGCCCGCCAGTTCTAGGGCCAGGGGCATTGATCGAGGATAGACCACTCGCAGGCAAAAATGATTTTGGCCGCTGGCAGGTGGGGCTAGTTCACTAGGCTAGGTTTAAATATTTGGGCTCACTATGTGGAACTAACTAACAACAATGGATAAAACCTGGTGGTTTATTTTGGACATGTTTTTTTTCCTGTCGTGCCTAAACAAACTGAATTTTATAACTCCTTCAATAATATATTTTTTTAAATAGTATTAGAGTAAAAGAACCAAAAAAATGTCTATCTTTTTCCCATTGGGTGTACATCTCTGGCATTAGTAACAAATACATTTACTTTATTTCCCTTGCAATATTGTTACAGCCTTATTAGCCTTAGCAATATTTTTGTGGGTATAAAGACACCTTTAGATAAAAAAAATCTGCTCTCTCAATGAACTTTTCGTAAGCGGTTTTAGAAAAGCTAAGTTTTTGTGTGGAAAATGTCTTGAACACCTTTTGCTGCTTTGGTTCCTTTAACAGTCAAACTGAAGCAGCATTAAAACTCTTATAGATGAATATCTGCCCACTTGGCTCTAAACCCAGATACCAATGGTAGATCAGACAGAGAGGCAAGCAAACCCAAAGACCCCAGCTGTTGATGACAGGATGGTTCTTGTCTATGGAGCGAGTAGAGAAGGTGGTAGCTCTGAATGGGAAGGTCAATGGACATGTTTTGTTCCAGTCATTGATTAATTGTTTTGTCTCGTCTTTTGTAAAAATGTCTCAAAAATACCTTTTGGTGATGATTGAAAGGTGAGAAACAACAACAACAAAAAGTCTTTCAATCATTTAAACAAAGGTTTTCTTTTTAAAAGTAAATCATGTTTAATGATGCTGAGGATAAAAGAAATAAGAGGGAAACAGCTATAAGAAATGAGCGAGTGGCACCATAATGACAATCAATAGGAGAGAGAGAGCTACTGTAAGAGACAGTGTTTGAAAGAGCATAGAAATAGCAGGATGGGACATTATGGCTGAAGAAATGTATTCGATGAGTGACCTTTCTACCACATCAAGCCAGAACAATGGCCCATTATGTGCAATTGTATCCAGAGAGCTACAAGCTGGCCTTTTTAGCCATAACGCTGACATAAGTGTCAGACCAGAGTGAAAGGCAGGAAGTACAAGAAGGGAAAAGGTCTGGAGGGATAAGATGGCTGCTAAAAGCTCCTTTTGGCTGATAACACGTGTGGATTGTTGTTTTAAAGATTTGGCACCAAGTACCTGCCATGACGGTGTTAATGAAGTCCTTGAAATAGGATTTGCAAGGACATTTTGAAAAAGTCTGTAAACGCAAAGGAAACTGAAAATTCATGTGGAAATGTACAAATCTGGTGGAGAAGTGGTGACACTGAGCAACTGTAGAGATCAGAGAAGGTTCACTGTGAGACTATTGTTTATTGTGCAGTGTCTTGCTTCCTCCTGGTATTGAAGTGATTTATTAAACGTGTGGGGTGATTAGGGTACAACCCAAAAGTTGTTGGGTCAAGACAATGTGAACAGGGAACTTGTTTCACTGTATTATGGAAATTTTTTTAAAATCCCACTGATGTTTTAAAACAGTTTTTGGTTTTTAAACTAAAGCAAGAACTGTCTGAGGTGATGGGAAAACATCTCAGTTGCATTAAGTCCTGACTTTCACTAGGTCATTCCAAAAACTTAAAGGACCAATAAGCAATACTCCTTATTTTAGATAGAATAAAAAAATAGTGAAGAACTAAAGGTATCTTCTTTGATGTAATACTGTGAGTCCTCACACACAGTCACTCTGTGTTGTTCTCCAGAGTCTTATTTACAAGCTGAACAGGCTGCGCATTAATGTATGTATGTATGTCCACGTGAATAGCTGCCACACAGAGTTCATCCCCTGCCTGCCTGTAATCTGCCACCAGTGAAGCGTAAAGTAGGAGCAAAATGCCAGACAGTGCATCCAGTGGATCAAAATATTCAGTTATAATTGTTATTATATAACAAATGTTTTCCTTGGTACCATCATTATAGTTATGAGTTACTTGCTTCTTCAGAAGACATGCTTCTCTTAAGGTGAAATGTCAATATTTTTTTAACGTATTAGAAATTTGTATTACTTGTAGTGGAAATATGTTTTAACTTAGCACTAAGTCCACCCTTATGGTTTCCCAATTTACAAGAACACGAGTATGGATTTGTGTCCTCGCCTAGAATACAGGAAAGTATGGACTTGGGAGAACAGGAGCACACAGCATAAATATGGGTCAATTGGAACAGAAGCGTACTGATGACATCACCACACGCTCGGCTTGTCTGGAGCTGCATTTCACTTCCTGTTATTAATAGTCTATAGATAATAATAAATTATTATTTCTTTTATTTATTGGGGAAATAACAATTAAAAGTCAGATAAATAGAAATCAAATGAACAGTTTGTCAAATAAAGCAACAAACTCGCCATCAGAGCCAGTCATTCTTCACACTATGCCGAGAGAGGGCTGCTGCAGACGGGCTTAAATTAGCCCTGGGTGCGGTTAGCCTCGGAGGTTTGCTGGTTTCTGCGGTCCTCTCAATATCGGAACTTTTTTTTAAATTACGCACTTTATCAGTAAATGGGCCATATAGTGAAGCTTAAAAGTATAATATTCTGACCTCAAATGATCTTAAAACATACTTAAATAGAACAACGGCAACAGAAAAGAGAACATTAACTTCACTGGAAGCTGCTCCTGCCGCATTGCATGCTGGGATAGCTGTCAATCTCAAGAACGGACAAGTCTGCTCTGATGCATCCTGGGTAAACAGGGTGGGGCGAGAACAACATCCGGGGACTTTGTCCGTTCCCAGTCTTGTGTTCTTGTGAATTGGAACAGTAGTAGAGCTGAGGCTGATTTTTCACGAGTACATGAGAATGCACAAGTACGCATAATGAGAAACGGCCATTGAATGACTCTCAAAATGCAGAGCAGAATAACAGTCCAGGTCCAAATCAGGAGCAGGTTCTCTTCTCTCCAACTCCGTGAGGTGTTGGTCTGTGCCTCACCTTCTTGTTGCCATTCCCATTCCAAGAACCCTATTAAACATTGGCTTTAGTGACTGCATTCAGTTTAAGCTCTTGGGTTTAAAATAATTGTTTGGTACGATGGAGGCACAGGGGTTGAGTTTGTGACCCATGAACCTTAGCTCACAAAGCTCGAGTCATTGGTTCAAGACCCTTTCCGTCAACCTTTACTGTATATCTGAAAACCACAATAGCGTGGAATGCAAGGGAAAAAACTTTAAAAATAATTTTCCTTTTTTTTTTCTTTTTTTTTCTCCTGCCCTGAAAGGAAAATAAAAATATAATTCAAAGGCAAATTTTCTAAGTGTTTGATCTTGTAATACTGTGTTTAGCCACTAGAGGCAGTAAGGTAATAAGACAAACACTGTTGACTGGTATCCAAGAATCAAGGTCCCAAATATAAAATTAGATTTTTGCAAAGTAAAATGAGAGAAAAATCGGGAACAAAAACTGTGTATTCATTGGTGATGGCATGTGGTTATCATATCAACCTTGTATGTTTATGAACAATAGAGAATTATTTGCAGGGATAATCCACCATATCTGTAGGACAACATCACAGCTGCTCTTTGTTAGGATCAAGACTATTTCCCAAATAACCTTAGATTTGCTGTCAGTCACTGATCATCACAGTAAATAAGACATGGATATAAGAAATGATGTGGCAACAATTTAGATATGAATGCTTAAATGATTATATTTATTTATGTTTTAATTATAACAGCTAAATGGAAAGTAGTTGGGAAACTTGCCTCAAAACACAGACTGAGGAAAAAAAGCTCTTAGCTTAGATTTCTATGTCTTTTTTTCTATCTCTCTGACTATACAGTTGAACAATATAGCCGACAATGACATTTGCCTTTGATTTTTTTTTTTAAGTTGTCTTGCAGGGAAGGAAAAAAATCAAAATAGTCCAGTTTTTTTTCCCTTTGCCTTTCAGGGCTTCCGTAGTTAACCCATCAAGGAAACAATGAATTGAATTAATTGTGATAACTCAATTATTTAAAGAATAGTCAACTAATGTAGTAATCCATTAATTGCTAATTTGAGTATATAGACTCGAAAAGATGCCTTTAGCTGAAAGATGAACCCACTTAAAGAAATTAATTCTTAAAATATATTCAAGGTGAAAACCTTTTTGTCTTTTAATATTTCAGTTCAGGCTCAGTTTTAGTTTCTGTTTCATTTAGTTTAAATTCTGTGTAAAATCTTATTTAAGGAACTTTTTGCTAAACGAATATTAATCAATTGATCAAAAAAAAAAACTGAGAGATTAATCTATTAGTAAAATACTCGTTAGTGGGAGCCTTAAATCAACCTCTCTCTTAATTCCATTTAAAATAAGTCTAAAATAAAGGCCACAAGTGCATAAAAACATATTTAGGTTCAAAGGTAACTGAAACATTATATTCACTCATAAGGGCAGTTATCCAGATGGTTGTGTAATTATTTGTTATTTAAAACCCCTAAAGTTATCTAAAGCAGCATCAGGTCTATCAGCCTTCATTTACCTGTTCTTTCAGTCATAAAATCACCTTCATATCAGTGCAGTTTTTTTAGTAGTACTAAACCAAAACCTTGCACTGCAGACAAAGATGAAAAGACCACTGTCAGATGAAAACATCTGATTTGGCCTTTGTGTTGAATTAAAACTAAGGACTGTCGTTATATTATGTGACTTCTAAGCACTGCAGGCATAAAGAGAGAATACAAACCAGATTTTTACAACAGGAAATCTTGTATAAACATGGGCTTTAATGACTCCTGCCCTTCAAGCGCTGCCTGGGAATTAATTAGCTGACAGAGCTGTAATGGTCCTGGCTTTTATAAACTAGTGCCTCCAAAAAAACTGGCACATCGCCCAGCTGGCATTTAATTTAAGAAGAAAGGCTTTACTTAGATTTGCCATCTTGGACCTGTTGGTGTTAAGGGAAATCACATCGCTATATTAAGGCTTATTATTATTTATATGTTATTTAAAGTTTGAACATGAGACAATGACATGTAGGAAACCTTCGGGGTGTAATTTAGTCATTTCAGGGGCTACGCTGCAACAACCATCAAACGTCCAGAATATTTTTCAGTCACTTCTATTCTTCCATCCATACATGCCTAAGTGTAGATAAGCTGAATTTATTTGCTGTGGTAAGTCTGCATAAGTTCATAAAGAAAAGCACTTAATGATGTTTTCTTAAAACATGGATGCTCTCATATTAAGCTAAGCTTTCCCTCCAGTCCAATAAGTATTAAGAATGGACATGTAAATTAGTGGATGGAACCGGCTCTGGTGTTCACACAGCATGCCGCTCGGAGCCAAGGCGATTTTAACAAGGGTCGCTTGCCGACTCTTCTGAGCTGGGTAGACATGCCTCGGTGAGCTGTTCCCGCTGCCACTAAAAGCCGATTGTTCCCTGGTTTAAACTGGTATTTTAGCCAATGAAAAAGGTTTGCAGTGCAGAAAAAGAATATAAACCACATTCATCACAATTGAATAAAATAAAAACTGAGGTAATAATCTTTGGACTAACAGAGCAGAGATTAAGTTAACAACAGCTTCAGCTACTACAGATAGAAACCAGTGATTGTGGCCAAAATCTTGGTATTATCATGGACTCAGACCTGAACCCTCAGAGGCACATAAAGGCAGTTATTAAGTCAGCCTTTTATCATCTGAAGAACATTTCCAGGATTAAAAGTCTAATGTCCAAGCAGGATCTAGTAAAACTCATCCATGCATTTATCTTTAGTAGGATCGATTACTGTCTTTCTAGGTTTGCCTTAAAAGTCCATGAGACAGCTGCAGCTGATCCAAAACTCTGCTGCCCGGGTTCTCACCAGAACTAAGAAAGTAGAGCACATCCTCCCGGTTCTGAAGACCTTCCACTGACTCTCTGTAGCTCACAGAATAGACTTTAAAATCCCTCTGTTGTATAACAGATTTGTTGTCAATGTATCAACCCTCCAGACCACTCAGGTTTTCTAGTTCCAGCCTACTCTGATAAATTATTCCCCTCATTAACACTAGTAGTGGTGCATAATGCAGCTTTAAATGATCAATCATAATTATCATTTAGAAGTATGCTCAAGTTTATTCACAGACAAAATGTCACATGGCAATGAAGAAAATATAAATAAATAATATTTTGGTTTTGTACCGTATTCCTGCACCCATTATTAATGTCATTAATGGTTATACAAGTTAACCTTACCTCTCTTGCTCCATCCTCATCTTCATCGTTTCTTCATCAGAAACCTGCGTTTCCTCTGGTCTCCACTTACTCGATCCTTTCCGATCCATCTTCTCTGCAGGCCGCTCATCTTTGCGATACTTCCCAAATCTGCAACACCAAAACATGAACATTTAATGTTAAAGCTGTCATATATGTGAATGCGCTGGAGTGATTAAAGTAATAAAAAGGACTTCTTTACTTCATGTTTACTTCATGTTTTATTTCACGTTACTAGTGGACGTTCAAGTTCTTCCATGCCAGAAATAATCAACGATGTCTGAATTGTTTTAACCCCTTTCACTGAAACGATGGGGAAGATATCAACCTGCCTGCATCAAACTTTACACTTAACAAAATGCAGTTAGCCTTGTACTGTTTTTCTTGCAATATTACTGGTGCAAATTTAACAGTAGTGTCTCCTTCCTAGCTGTGGCTAGTAACGTTAGCAAAGCATCTTTAGGCTAATAGCTGTCCTTTTTATGAACAGAATTCTGACTTCATATCAAACAGCTTTGTCATTAGCCAGACATCCCAAGTTCCAAAAACTCATTTCAGGGAGATGGCTCAGATATGAGCTGGAACAGACATGGTTACTGATAGGTCCTTTGGCTCTACTTCATTCTTTTTCTTTACAAATTCTGTTTTAGTAATTATTCAAAAACAATAAGGTGATAGCTTCAGTGGAATTGAGATAGGATCCCAGTTCTCATCTGATAAATGTTTTTTTTTTTTTTTTCACAACAAATAAAAAAATTCTCTAATTTTTACAGATGAATTTAACAGTTTTTCTTGAGATCAAATTCAAATTTTATAGAAAACAGTAGTTTTAACTTAAATTAAGTCAAAAATAATAAATTATAAGTGTATATTGACCTCATAAGAAACAGAATTTCAATTGAAGCTAATTGAAAAGAAATTTCCATTCATGCAGCTCTCTTGATATATTTGAATCTCTTGCCCTGTTTTTTATTTCATGCTTTTCTGGGCCCCCATGAAAACATGCTGGCCCCCTCCTGGCCCCCTGGTACATTTGGTCTAGATCCGCCACTGTTTCTCACCTTCACTAGACGTGGATATACTTTAGTATATTCTAATGTGAAATTAGTCCTATATTTTCATTTCTTACTCGAGGATTGAACCTTTGCCGTTTCACAGGATGCACAGCTTTGAATGGTAACTAGGTGACTGGCAGAGAGTAACCCAGAGAAACTTATCGGACTGATCCACTCAGCTCTCTGACAACCATTCACCTGGAGCGCTGGTTGATCAGAGCATCACTGTGGACAGATATGCTGCACAGGTTTCACCGGCAACCTCCTCCCCACACCCTGCTCTCTCTTGTTGTCTGCGCAATCAAACTAGTTCTAATCCACACATGATGCATGAATTAGTGCCTGCACGCTCTCACTCGCATAAAAAAAAAACGCCTCACAGAGTGTAAAGTCTGGGATAATTTATCCGAGTCACGGGCATCCATGAACAACGATCTATATCAGGGAGACTCCCGGAACTTTGTCTGTGTCTCAAAGTGAGGTCTAATGTTGTTATGCAGCTGCATTCAGCATAAGTTCGCCCCTTGCTGGCCCAACTGCATAAAAACAAACACCCAGTCCCCCTCTGCATTGTGGCCAACTTAAGCTTAACTTAAGATGTTTTGCCCTTTTCAGGGAAATTTTCCAGTCATGAGATAATTTTTCAATCGGGCCGATTTTCAGCCTGATCGTGCGTCGTGTAGTATACAGGGGGTAAGGAAGGGGCGATCAGCCTCTCACGACCACCTACCGATCAGGAATCAGGGGATCGAGAGAAAACCAAACATGTTTGAAATTGCGTCGGCCATCATGGGAAAATCGCTCAGTGGGCATGTGAAAACAAGGATTCTTCTTCTTCCTCTCAGATGAAAACACAGAATCATGGCGGGGGCGCAATGAGTGAAATAAAGTTCGCTCTGTAAAATCCACAAACCATAGTAGCCACGTTTGCTCAGCCATGTCTTTATGCAAATACGTCGACGCCTTTTCTTTCTAGGGCTTTCAGCACATAATTGCACAAATTGCCAAGGCAGCACATTTCTCTCTAGTGAGCTTCATATTCCTCTTCTACTCGTTTGGCTTCTGGATAGACAAGTTCGAGAAGCGCCATCCTACAGCGGAGCTGAGTCTGACCTGGTTTTAGATGTACAGTGTGAGCAGGTAGGTTGCATCAGAGCGTCGGGTCACAGAGTTTGAATATACATCGTGAGCTGTGAACTTTTAAACCCTGCGGTTTTGTTGTACAGTGTGAGCTGTAGCTGCGTGCAACAATTGAAAATATCGCAAAGTGTATGCCCGGCTTTAGCGATTTTGTCGCTATATTAAATGCCTTTTCAGATCCCTTTAGGGATTTTTTCCAAAAAGCGACAAAAGATAAATCTAGCAACTTTCTCTTGTCTTGTTGGAAATTTTATGGTGACAACACAAATCATTAATCGCCCTGAGTTTATGATCTTCAGTGAACAGTTGGTGAACAAGCCCCTCCGTCCTCCAAAACACAGGGACTCCGACGCAGAAGCTGCAGCCTGTGTCTGCAGTCAGGGAGTAAAACCACTCTCCTCTATTTACCCGTAAAACATCAGTTGTATATGCGCAAAGCTTCTGCTGATCCCCCTGAATAAAAGATCTGAATGTAAATATTGTATTTAACATTTTTTTTTTCTTAAAAAAGGTTGCAGTGAAATACAATAGGGCATAGGCGTGGTTTCAAGCGCCTCAGCCAACACCCCCCCAAGGCATCTCAGGGCAGAGATAAATGACATTTTTCAATGAACTACTTTAGTGACCTAACTTTATATGCTTAGATGTGTTATTAATCATTCAAATTCAGATGGGTGATGAATAACTGAGAACACATATTTATACTTTACACTGTCTTTAAACAAAATTATTTAAAGTTTACTACACTTAACCAACTTTAGGAGTTCAATTAATAGACTGAAGATCTTTTGTTAACGCTAGTAGCCGCAGCTAGGAAGAAACCGGTCATTTTTCAGGAGGCAGGGATTTCCTGAAAAGTAGCCAGTTTACTTTCTCTGGTCGGTTCCACCCTGAAAGTGACAAAAGTCGACATGAGCGCAGAGAAACAGGTCCACACACGAGTAGGTAACACGAATAATTAATAGTTGCATGAAAAGCAAACCGCCATCGCAGAGAAGGAGCATGGACTTGGCAGTTTATGTGTTACTTTTTTATAAAACTGCTCGTATGAGTATTTAATACGCACATGCAGAACTTTCACTCCATAGTTTTTGAGTTTATCTAAAAGCTACATGAACTATAGTATTTACTGAGCCCCTCAGTAAATACATATAGTTTTTTCTACCTGTATTTAATAAACCTTTGTCTGTGGAAGTGATTAAAATTAGACATTTCAAGGAATTGGATCAGGGTATGAATACTTTTGGGAACAAGTGTATTTTCTATATTTACAAGGACCAAGAATATGTTAAAAAAAAAATCCCTAACATTTTATATCTGAAAAGGAATCACTGATTAGAGTATAAAGTCCTCTTGAACCAAATTGCAGCAATCTGACTGGAAATGCGACCCAAACTCTGCAGAGGAGTGACTTTACACTGAATCAGGCTCTCAAATGAAGCATTTAAAAAGTTCTCCTCATGAGTTCAGACCCAATTCAGCTCGTTTAAAGTTCGGGAGCAGACGCAGTAATTATATTCATGGGGAGGGAACGATGCCTAATGAAATAGAAGCCTTTGCAGAGATATTTCAGCTTGATTGACCCAGTATAAAGCTGCAGCCTGTTGAAGAAATGACTTTGGCACCTAACTCGCTCCCACAATGAACCTGCGTGATTATTCACAGGGAAACGGGTCCGCTGAGAATATCTACGACTTCCAAAGTAACAACGGAGATAGAAACCAAAAGGCTGCATGTGAATTAATGGGAGACACGGAAGAGGAGGAACAAAAAGACAGAAGAAAAAAATTGATTTTGTCTAAATCAAACATGAGAATAAAGCTAAAAGGAAGAGTACAAGGGCACCCTTATGTGAGGTTTAAAGAAACAATCCAAAGTCACAAGATCAAAAGCAAATCAGATGCTGGTAATCCCCCCTAAACCTCAAGTGTGTTTGAGGATAAAAGAGAAAAAAAACCTACACTACCTGAATTAGTAATTAGGACAACAAAAAAACAGAAAGATTGAAAAGTCGAAGTGTCTTTGTGGGGAAAAAAAAAAATCAATGCAGATGAAAGAAAAACAAAACTAAAACAAATCAATAACAAAATATGCGAAAGTCTAACAAAACAAACAAAAGACATCTGTAAAAAGTGATACAGTGTTAAAAAGAATCAAAGCAGAATAAAACAGCACAGCAGGAACACAAACACAAAGAAACAAAATCACAAAAATAAAACAATTAGAAATATAAAAGAAAAGACAAATATTGATGTTCTCTACATGTTTCTTCACATAGAGGACGAGAGGAAAGATTTTTTTAAAATTCCCAATGATTTCTTTAGGGCTATTACTAAAGCAAAAACGACAAAAAATGTCAGTGAAAAAAGTTCATTCACAAGCTGGATTCACTATAACTAATAAGGGATTTTGGTTCTGATACAAATCAATTAACTGGTTGTAGAAGCTTGTGAGATTTACTCATACTGTAAGTGCTGCACACTGTTAGCCTTGGTGCCATTCCGAACTTAGTCCCGCCCACAACGTTTGAGGTCGGTAAGTTCGGTCTGGCATTGCTCAATAGTAGCGCGAGTATGCTAGCACAATATCTGGCAGGCCAATCAAATTGTCAGGGCGGGCTTTATACG